GGAAAATCTATGAAATGAGAATGATGATGGACTTCAATGGAAATAATAGGGGGTATGCATTTGTAACCTTCACCAACAGACATGATGCCAGGAATGCAATCAAACAACTAAATAATTATGAAATTCGGTGAGTAATCATAAAAATTACATCTATGCATATGTTGTTACCAGTAATGAATATTCACCCCCCAACAGATAGTGTTGCAGCCAGGCAGTTTATGGTTTAGCAATTTTCCTAATTTACAAGATTGACTTCTTCACTAGATCCTTTTTCTAACAGAATAATACAATCAAAATTCTTAATTAAGCCAGGTTTTAAAAGTAGGAAAAATCTTGTTCTGTTCTGCTGGAAAGCTGATAAGAATTTAAACGTTTTTCTAATTAGCGGAGTAATTTGTAATCTTGCAGATGTAAGCTATTTAAAAGGAACAATAATGGGCTGCACATTAAATTAATATCTGACAGGAAAGTCTGTCTATGTTACCCATAGCAATCAATCAGATTTCAGCTGTCATTTATTTCTAGTCCAAACTGGAAACAATGAGAAGCCTGCACGCTATGGTACTATTTTTATTCAAGATTTATAGTATATATAGCAGTGTTTTCAGGATGGTAGTTAAGACCTGTGTGCCTTGTGTATAGTGGATGATAGGCATAATTTCCAGACTGTTAGAGATGAAATAAAATAAGGATATTATTAGATCAAATCTTTCAGATACTTCGAATGTTTATTTTGTGAGGATTTTCACAATATGAGCAGCCTGCCCCGGAAGTGTTGATTTACCTTTCTTTATAGATATTTTGTTAATATTATTAATGAATCCATGCTAAGGTTGGTTAAAAGGCTACTCCATTGCAATGGTGCCCATAGACCTAAGAGGGTTTAAAGTGTATTTCCACTTTTGCAGCCCAATTGGGATAACACCTTCTTTATATTTGTTAAATATTCTCAATCACATAGCATACTTTAAAAAAAATATTTTAAAATTGTTGCTTACCTTTTTAAATAATATTTTCTGGAAACTCAAGGACTGAAAATAGTGGAGAAGCTAGATATTCTTTCAGCAAGGGCAAAGTTAGCACCCCTACCCGAGAGAGAAGTTCTTTATCTAGGGCAATATAGCTGATTGGCTGGTCAGCATGTGACTGGGGCTGACATTTGGCCTTAACCCTTCATGTGTCGTTGTACACACAGCAGCTGAAATCTGATAGGAGGCAAGAGGAGATGCAGGCTTTCAGCTGCTGCAGGGAGAGCCACACAGAAGATCGGTTCCAGTAAATGAGGGCTAACATTTAGCCTTAATGCATGTGTCGGCATCTCCTCCTACCTACCACCGGCTTTCACCTGCTGCAGGGACAGCCACACACAAGATCGGTCCCAGTAATATCCCTCACTGGCTGCACTGATAGGTGGCACCACTCTCAATGTGCTGCCCTGGACACATGCTCCACCCCCTCCCAGTGTCGCCCCTCACTGAAAAATCCTACTAGTTCTCTTTATTTATGAGGGGGCTTGGAGCTGTGTTTGTTATAATTACCCCTGGCTGGTGGATCTAATTTCATCAGTTTTTAATTTGGTTTAAACACTGTCTGTCCTAACAAAGGGTTAAATATTTGCAAGCTAGGCATCTCCATTGCTTGTTAATGAGAGGGAGCTCAACCTGTCCCTTAAGCCGGCCATACGTAGTTCAAAATTTGCCCGGTTCAGTTGGGACCAGACAAATTTCTATTCATGTATCACATGAATGTTCTATACAACCACCCTGTTGGATATTCCCCGCTTAATCAGCACTGCCAGCAATAGCTATCAGTGCTGATTAGTGTATTCTGACAGCAGAAAATCTCCCTACTGTCAGAATACAATAGCTCCTTGAATGTATGGACAGGGGAGTCAATCGGCTACCTAAGGCTATCTAATGGAACAGATCACACTGAAACTGTTTATAAATTCTTTCAGTCAGCCATGAAACCTTCTCCTAAAAAACATCTAAAAGGTAATAAATATTAAAAATTTAATTTAATATTAAACATGCAAGTATGCTGTGTGAATGGAAACACATAACAAACAAATAGTGGGAATGTCTTGAAACTGACCGCAAAAATGGAAATACACTTTAAAGGTTTGAATTCTGTCTGATTAACAGTTCCCTAGAACATGTTGCCATCTACTGGACCAGAGGTACAAGATTGCTCTTTCATCTAGCGAAAAAAGATTAAATCGGGGATATGTTTTCTTAAGCCTGTGACTATGTTAAGCAGCTGGAATCATTCCTAAAATGTACTGAGATCAGTTTCTAACCAGGAGGAATAGAACTAGATCTTTACCCATTTCCAACTAATCATTTGGTGGGTTTTAATAGAAAGGATTGACCATGCCACCCATTTTTCAGAACATTTCACATTTGGCAAAAATGTACTTCACCATTTACTTTCTATTGACACCCCCCCCCCCCATCCTCATTGTGAAGTCTGATCAGACCATTTATATCAAGCCCAAGCAACCTAACGGAATTAAGTGGTCTTAATATATACTGAATCAGGTGTCAAATGCAGGTTCTGTTAACATAAACCTAATTTTGCTCAGCAACATTTCAATGTGCTATCAATATTACAGAAATGGGAGACTTCTTGGGGTCTGTGCCAGTGTAGACAACTGCAGGTTGTTTGTTGGTGGCATCCCAAAGACCAAGAAGAGAGAAGAAATTTTAGTGGAAATGAGGAAAGTAACAGATGGCGTTACTGATGTGATTGTCTACCCCAGTGCTGCAGATAAATCTAAAAATCGTGGATTTGCCTTTGTAGAGTATGAAAGTCATCGTGCTGCAGCTATGGCCAGACGAAAATTATTACCAGGTGAGACAATTAATCATTATATATATAGGTCTGATTTCCAGATTTTATATCGCAATTTTTTATGGTTTACCATTTTTCTAAAACACAACATTCATTCTAATAACTTTTATGAGAGTTAGGTAGGAAAAATAAATAATTTCAATCTTCGTTTACAGAGTAGCTGTTGTACTTATCTATTTCATCCTTGGGGAAAAAAAAGTAAAACCACAAGAACAAAAAGGATGGAATTAGAAACTTTTATTTTTTATATACAGTATAATTGTTAGACTTTGTTGACTTAATGTTGGAAGCAATGTAAGAAAGACTGCAGCTGAGAAGCAGCCAGACCTAAAGTTTGGTAAACCAAGGATCACTCCAACCCAGTTTACAGAGTTGAAACATTTTTGAAAATGTATCCTAGAGGTCAGCATCACTGTTGTATTGTACTTTTAACAGGTTTACATTGTCATAACCTTGAAAAAAGAAGTGTGGGATTTCCACTTTTGTCATAATTCTAGGATTAGGGAGGATGTGTAATTAAAATTCACACTTAACATGATTCAGTAAAATACATACCTGTATTTCTATCTTATCAACTCTAATGTAACACAGCAAAGTCATCTTTGAAGAGGTTTCCATGTCTCATATCCTCAACTATCCCCAAAATAAAGGGTTATTTCCTATTTTAGGACAGGGGATTGAGCTATGAAAATCATTCTAATATATTTCAATGGCCAAATGCACATCCAAAACTGCTGGTGTATAGTGCAAAAATAGCCCAATATTAGGGAGATATTTATTCTGAACTATATACTGGTATTTTAGGATTTTTGACCACCATTAGCACAGTGTTCAGAGGTTTTGGATGTGTATTGGTCCACTGAAGCTAAATGAATTACTTGCATGGCTCCATTAATTATCCTAAAATGAGGAATATTCTTCTTATTTTTGGGTTATGTAACTGTATGAGACATGTGAATAACTTCTGTTCTAAGAAGGCTCTACGCACTGATTCTATTGGAGTTTTTTAACCCCTTCCTACCATCACCTTAATTGTTGTACTTGCTTGTCATGAGTAAAAAAGCAATGTTTCTAAGCAACAGCGTTTCCACCTCTCTGTGAAAACAGACCCAAGGGGTCCTTAATGGGATACAGCCCCTATCACAGAGGGAGGCCAAGTATGCAAATCTTTCAACGTCTCTCTGAATCAGGCTTCTAAATATCTTTTCAACAGAATTGTTTTATATTTTTCCTAGAGTTTTCTTTTAAAGGGTAACTCTAGTCATTTGATTTCCTTAATGTAAAGATCTTATCAATATGCTATGTTCAGAAAATGTACACTTTGTACAAGGATGAGCTATATTTGCTCATTCTCTCTATAGGACCCTCCAACCACTTAGTAGTGCTGCTTAGTGATTGCACTTTGCATATCCTCTTATCTCACTGCAAGTTTATCAATCAAATTCACTTCAGTTTTTAACAATGTGAATACCTGCAATGCTTCTGTTAAACAAAGGTCAAGTAATCTTTTGCGTAGTCTTTAGGTCACACAAATCAAGCCCAGGAACATTTTTTTATGTCAAGAAAGAAGTACTTTTCTAATTCACAATAGTAATGTGATTTGGTATTGTTGGCATGTGCCTCGCTGATTTGTGTACAAGGTTTGAATCTTAGTTGTCCTTTTAATTGCATTCAGTATTTTAATATTCATGTTTGTGACATGTATCACAATTCTGTCAGACATATTTATTTTGCTGTCCCATTGACAGGGCGCATTCAGCTATGGGGTCATCCAATCGCAGTGGACTGGGCAGAGCCAGAGGTTGAAGTTGATGAAGATACAATGTCATCAGTTAAGATTCTATATGTCAGAAATCTCATGCTAACAACGACGGAGGAGACAATAGAGAAAGAATTCAATGACATCAAGCCTGGTACATTCTCTTATTAGTGAACTACTTTATGATAACTGACTCACATACACATTGTAGTTGTGGGGTTGTGCTATGCAAAATACTGTTAGCCATACCTAAATCATTTTGGATAAATTAAGCTAGAACCTCTGTTAGTCGTGGTCACCAGGACCAAGACTTAAGGAAAATCCAAGATTTTGAGTTGACAAAACAAGAACAGAGAGGAGCTCTTTCAATTAGGACACTTGTTCTGATGTCAACTGTCTATGATTTACTCCACTGCATCCGACGCTTTGGTGATGTAAAGCTTGGATGCAGCTGCTCGGCCATGGAAACCCATTCCATGAAGCTCTCTGCGCCCTGTTGTTGTCCTAATCTGAAGACCACATGAAGTTTAGAGGTCTTTAGCTATTGACTCTGCAGACAGATGGTGACTTCTGCACACTGCGCTGCAGCATGCGCTGACCCTGTTCTGTCAATTGACATGGCCTACCATGTCGTGGCTGAGTTCCTGTTGTTCCCAGTTGCTTCCACTTTGTTATATTACCACTAACAGTTGCCCATGGAATATTTAGTAACAAGGAAATTTCACAGATGGACTTATTGCACAGGTGGCAACCTATCACGGTACCATGCTTGAATTCACTGAGTTCCTGAGTGTGACCCATTCTTTCACAAATGTTTTGTAGAAGCAGTCTGCATGTCTAGGTGCTTGATTTTATACACCTGTGGCCATGAAGGTGATTGGAACACCAGAATCCAATGATTTGGAGGGCTGGCCTAATACTTTTGGCAATATAGTGTAAATTTTATTAACTGATTAAATGTAACTAACCACAAATTCTTATATTTAAGTTCAGTTCTTGAATCACTTTCTAAGATAATATAAAGATATTTTTAGGTTTTAACCATAGCTATTGATTTTATGCAATTTTATTTTACCCATGAATATTCAGTTACAGCTTTCTTTTAAAATATATCAGAACTTTGAACTGTGAACTTTGTAAGTTGATAATTTTCTGTGCAGTAAATCAATTTGGAGATAGGAGATAGCAATCATGCAAGAATATGTATCATGTCTTTCTGACTTCAAAGTCCTGTCCTTGTAATCAACCATGAAGGTATTTTTACAACTCTAGTAAAATACATGCATGATTCTGAAGATTATATCCACCTCTACATATCAAAACAAATAACAGATATTCAAACATACTTAGTATGTGATGTTCAGTATTTTCTTCTATTTTACCATTTTTGAAATGAAAGGTGTATTTGGAGGAAAGCACAACATAACACGGCCTTTGTAGAAATGTGTATTAAATATATATCTGCTAGCACTGAAAATGTAGGAATTATTGTCATAGCATGTCTGATTATTATTTAGCTCAGGTCCTTCAAGAAAGCATGTCCAACCTTATCCCTCTACCATTCTAAACAGTTTCTGATCCTTATGAGACATGGAAGCCAAAGATGTTACTTGATTTTTTCATTTTAGGTAAAACAAACATTCCCTATAGGAATACATAGGCTGAAATTATCAGTTTCCTTCTGACTAGTTGACATGCTAATCTCCTCATTTTATTACTTTCAGTCACTGACTCAGTAGCAGTATACAGATCAGGTATTCTGATTTCATTGGCTGACTTGCTCTGGAAACTAGCATGATCAGAAGCAAGGAAACAATGGCAGCCTACATAATACTATTAGCACAGGTTTCCTTTAATGTAGAAATCAGGGTGAGAATCTACATTCTTTTCTGAAAACAGACATCAGGATATGAATGAGTTTGTTATTAGACAACGTGGGCCAAGTTTCACTGGAGTATGTAGTGTAAATTACATGCCAAACCAGAGCAGCACATGTGATCAGTTGTTATATGTGAGAACAAAACATTTCCCTTAACCTCACATTGGTGAAAGCATGCCAATATTGTAATATTTGCTATTTCTTTTTATAGGTGCAGTTGAACGTGTAAAGAAAATCAGAGATTATGCCTTTGTACACTTTAACAATCGCAATGATGCTGTTGACGCCATGAATGCTTTAAATGGCAAGGTTAGATATCTGCTGAAATGACACATCTGTGATATTGTGTTTACATCCGACAAATATACTTACAGTGATCACTGATGACGTTCAACTGTGATGGTAATGCTGATCACAAAGGTTCAAGGTCTACAACAAAATTATCAGTTTGCTTTTCATTTCATGGTTTGCTACTATGCATAGGGAGTTATTTTAATGGATCTGTAAGGTGCTCACAGATCTAAGACAGCAATCAAGCATGTATCCTATGAGCATATATGAATATGACTCTCACTGTTACCACTACAAAAAATTATTATGTTAAGTCACCTATCTGCATGACAACTGATTGCCATATAAATCAAGGCAAATGACCAGCTGCATTTTTAAGAAAGAAAAGAAAGGAATGAGAGGAAAGGAAAGCAAGAAAGAAAGGAAAGAAAGACAATAAAAAAAAGAAAAGAAAAAAAGAAATAATGAAAAGAAAGAAAAGGAAAGAAAGAAAAAAAGGAAAGAATGGAAGGAAGGTAGGTCTCTGCGCTATCCAAGATGATTTCCAAAAGTTGGATGCATAGTGCGCATTATTGAACAAAGTTTGTTCTTCTGTTCAATGTAGAACATCCACCTCTCCTTCATTTCTCTATTTTTTTATCCAAAATTATTATTATTATAATTATACTGGATTTATACAGCACCAGCAGTTTGTGCAGCACTTTACAATGTAAAGGAAGACAGTACAGTTACAATATAATAAAACAAATGGTTAAAAGGGTCCTGCTCAAAAGGGCTTTCAATCTAAAAATTGAGGAAAAGTTAAAAAACCATGTTCACATACCCAAATATACTTAAAAGGGTAATTTGTAATAAAACCATAAAAATATATTTGTATACATAACACTATCACCCTGCCATTGTTGTAAATTAGTTATCATTTAAAGTTAAGTAGAGAAAAACAAACAGAGGGCGCACCGGCCTAGTGCATTGCCTTAAAAAATGTATTTATTAAATGATAAAAGTAGGTATTGTACTCACAAAATGACAATACAGTCAAAGGCACATCATGAAAGGACAGCTCTGTCCAATCCGCACTACGTGTGTCTGTAATGGAAACTCTGGACCTCCAATGCTGACGCGTTTCGAGGACTTGCCTCTTCCTCAGACACGTAGTGCAGATTGGGCAGAGCTGTTCTTTCACAATGTGCCTTTGACTGTATTGTCATTTTGTGAGTACAATACCTACTTTTATCATTTATTAAATACATGTTTTAAGGTAATGCACCTGGCTGGTGAGCCCTCTGTTTGTTTTTCTCTATTTAGTATATTTGGACTTCCCCAGTCATTTGAGGGCAGCAAGGCGTGCATATCCCAAGAAATTCATGATGTGGTCCTATCCATACAGAATCCATCCCTAAGCGCAGGAGTATCTGGGTTTCATCATTTAAAGTTAGTCTAACTGCTGAATGGGCATCTCTCCTAATTAAGATCACTTTGTTACCTCTTCATCTCTTTAAGAGTGAATTCATGTTACTCCATCTTTCCCTTACATAACTTCTCATGGGCAATTGAATATTGGCCAACTATCCCTTGTGTCCACTTTGAAACACAGTTCCCATTTTAGCAGTGATGTATAAAATACATTTTAAAACTGTTTTTGCAGGGGGTCAAGATGATGCTCTTAAAGTGGTGTTAAACCCCAAAACCAGAATATAACTCTATTGAATCTTACCAGAGTGGTGGCTGCATTACTTTTATTTTTTAGGCTTTTCTTGCTTTATTTTCACATGGTGATTCTGCCAGTAACACACTTCCTGTTTTTGGGTGTATGCAATCTGGATGGAGGTGCAACAGAGAATAATAGCAGCATTGTCAGTCTGAGGAGAGAGTAGTGTTAGATCCACTAGCAAATTTAGATGGACATGACTAAGAAAGTAAAGCTGAATTCCAGTTACACTTTTTAAGCAGTTACAGTATTTTGTTTTCTTTTGGGATAAAGTTTTTTACATAAACATAAATGTTGACTATTGTAAGCACTCCTGTCAGTGTTAAATGGTTTGTCTCAACCCTCTAACTGCCACCTTTGCTGGACAGCTTGGTTTGTTAAAGAAAGTTGAAAAATAACAAAATAATAAACTGACCAAACATGGATCAAAATTCGGCTGATTCAGCCGGGAGGCAGAATGGGCAAGCTGGCTGTTTTCTGACATTGGAGAATACAATAGTTCAGTGGGAAGGATTTCCCCCAGCAAGTGTGTGGACGGAGAATTTTTTCAGTCATTTTGTTTTGTTCAATCCATTGGTTGAACGTAAAAACATGACTCCCGTATGGCCAGTCTTACTGCCTATGTCACCAGGTGGAAAAACAGGGGGGGGGAAAAAGAAACTATTGCAGCCACCACATATAATGTTAATCTGCAATATAATACATTTTTGTTTTGGGCTTTAATACCACTTTTATGACCAATCTGATAGTTTAATGCAGGGTCTAAATAATGTATAGATAAAGGTCTGAGAAATACAATGTGGATTAAACCACCCCTCTTACATAATATTTAGGTCCTACCAAAATAGACTATTACACAGTATAATCAAATTCCTGTATCTTGTATACTCCGAGGTTGCTCAGATCACCAATAAGGTGGTATGGTATGTCCCATTGACCATTGCGAGCAACATTCATTCAGTTGCATTACGAGCATAAAACTATATTGCTCCTTACAACATAAGTGAGCATCAATGTACAAGTCTGGATATTTGTAGCATACAAAGACTTCACAGTATGTAAAAAAGTGACACCATATATTTAGATTATTGAAGGATGGGTATGTTTAATCAACTCCTACCAAATCTGGAGGAATGGGCACCTTCACAGGCACAGCACACTGTTTACATAGCTAATAGAAAAATTGATTGTGTGTAGCTGTAGAAGTGTCAGAGTTAATGTAATATTTTGCCATGTGCTGCTCAATTCTATTTCCTCATTATTATGTGTAAACACAGAGTTGACATCATAAAATATTTCTTACACACACACAGCAGAATGAAAATGAAAGACAGTGAAATAAACAATATTATTCAGATAAGAATGGAATCTGCCACAGCTGAACGGAAGGCTGTCAAAGATACAGAAAAAGAAGGAAAGTGACCTGCACAGCTTTATGTTCATTTTATGCCAGGATTTGGTGAATATTCAATAATAGGGCTGCTCTTGCACACTGAATGATATGCTGCTCACATAGAACATCTGATAGTACAATGTAAGAATTTGCAGTATGCAGTATTGTAGCAATGGTGATATGCAGGTTAATTCTATGTTATTTCAGGTATAATGGTCCTTTAAACTGCAGACATTAAAATATTGGACTGATGCAACATTTATTTCCTTTTAAGATTACGTAGAACAGAGGATGATGTGAGAACAGTAAACCTGGCCCTGCTGAAAACCATGTTAAGATAACAATGCTGAAGCACAGATACATTGTGGTTCCTTCAAGTATCTGTTTTAAGCTAGACATGTATAGCTTGAATCTTGGAAGGTTCAGCAGGGACCAGCCAAGACTCGATCCATCTGTGGGCAGGTTGATTGTACCCATTGTATCCATCAATCAACTTGGACACAACCAGCATGTCAGATTTTTACATGTGATTATTGCCAGCAGCTACATCCACTAGCAGTGAT